TGGCGCTGGGGCAGGGTACACAGGAGACGAAGGAGGATTTCCTGCGCGGCGCGGAGACCCAGGAGCACGGATCGACAGGCGCGATAGCGGCCAGGAAAGCTTTCCGCCCGCGCAAAAAATCCTCCTTCGTCTCCTGTGTACCCTGCCCCAGCGCCAGCACCAATGGCAGCATCATGGTGAACAGAGCGATCTTGTCCTTCCCTTCCAGAGAAGCGCCCTCGCTGGTGCAGACTCGCGCGAGTGCCAGAGTCGGGAGGGCCCCAATGGCCGAGCTCGTGTCGAAACACACCAACTCTTTAACGGCCTTCCCCGCAGGAGCCGACGCGGCCGCGGCCAGCTGAGTCGCGCTCAGCTGCGTGGTAGTGTACTGTAATTCGTGCTGCACGCTTCCCCGCTAGGGTTGGGGAGGCTTGTCACGAGTGGGCGCTCTCTCCAAGCCTTTGTTGCAGATCATCTGTTCTCATCCACGTAACCTCTCGTGGTTCCATGATTTCGACATAATTTAACTATCTGCCACGAACTGGGACCCCGTGAGTGGACAAAATGTGTGTGTGTGTGTTTTTTTTTCGTCCTATTAATTATGGCGACAGTCCCCCCATATTTCGTCGTGAGACGAGTACGACACTTTTCAGGGTATTTTTTCGTACAACTGCAACCATCCAGGGTCACACAGGAGGGGGCAAACACCAGGGCGTACTGAATTTTTTTATGTTAATCGCGAGAAGGGTCCAGCCGTCCCTTTCGCTCGTCAACGGTGCTAACGTCGAAGTTTGGTACTCACGAGAGCTTTTTCAGCTATAGTTCGCTTTCACCCGCAAATGTAGCATGTTTTTCACCCCATGGGAGTTCGAGCATGGGAGAGGCTAATCTATCCTTCGGATAAAAGACAAAAACGTTGGCAACAGAAGAAAACTGCTCGCGTCTACCAAGGCTATTACCTTGTGCTCGAGTTCGTTTCGGAGTACTTTCACCGTTGTCCTCCTTGTTTGTGTGTGTGTGTGTCTTAATTATAAGCATCGACCGCGATAACCGGCTGACCAATATAAGACGTCGGTCTTCGTGCGGTTGGAAACATAAAAAAAACTTGTTTGTGTTTGTGTGTGTGTTCTTCCCATCTATTTTGGCGCCAGTTTACAGGCCTTTCGGCTTATATACCTGACAGATCAGCCGGGGTCACACAAGAGTAATGTCACACAGGAACTTTTTTCTTTCTTTTTGTTTTATGTATTGCCCCACCTTTCCGCCGGCGGTGCTTGCCTTAGTTTTTATCTCTAGAAGGGTTCAGCCGTCCCTTTCCCTCGTGGACCGTGAGGTCGAAAGTGTGTTCACTCACAGCCTGGATCGCTTTCAACCGCAGGTCGCTGGAAACAATCCCGGGAAAAAAAAAAAACTCCGGAGAGAGAACCCACAACATGCCGCTAGGGAGTCGTGCAGATTACCACGATTTCGGTGTACTCTTCTGTCTTGAAGAGTATGCTATCGCGGTTGGAACCACGCGTCCTCGAGAGGGCGGAGCATTGTTCCCACAGGACCGATCACCGATGGCCAATGGTTCCTTCCTACTTTGCCCAAGGTAGCTAAAAATCTGTTTTCCCTTCGTATCTATCTTATCGTTATCACTTCCCGCCTCTTCAACCCACCTCCTATGCCCCAGTACACCTAACCTCTTCTCCTGGCCATCCCATGCCTCTAACATTACCCTGTACTTTTCTACTTTTCCCAGCTCAGTCATGTACACTTCTTCCTTCTTCATGTACAGCCGATAATCCGCAACTACATGTCGCCGCACTCAAAGCCGCAATCACATTTGAACTCGTCGTCTTCGTCGTCTACCTTCCGATGCCTTCGGCTACGTTCTCAAAGGCCAATGTCCCCGGTCCTGAATTTGACCTTCAGCTTTGTCCCAGCATCCATGGGTCCATGAAGGTGCTCCTTGAACTCTGTTCTTTGAACATTCCGTACACATCTAGACCCTCTTCATTCGTGGTTAATTTGGTTAGATTCTGTTCTTCTCTCTCGGCAAAATCAACAGAGATCTTCTCCTTGAATCTCCTTGAAGCCCTGTAGACCTTGCGTTTCCAGCGTATCACTTTCGTCAATTTCGAACTCCTTCCATACGTCATCTACAACCTCTTGACCCTTTCCGTGGGTTGTCTACCCCTCTTTTTGTTTGCCCACTTCGCCTCCCAGACTTTTCTCGGCAATCTCTCCTCTCCCATGCCGCACATGCGTTACTGCTATTTTAGCTTCGTTGCGTCTCTTCCCGATACAGGCATTATATCCGCAGTTCGACCCTGACGGCTGCATTACTTGGGCGCTTAGAGTATCCTAAGATATATTTTCTCTGCTTTGATCTGTGCCGCCTCGAGCTCTTTGACTACCTTCTTTTTCCTTCCCATCCGTGTCCGGCGTACGCTAGCGGCGGTACGATTTCGCTTTTCAATACTGTCAATATGATTCGTGTATCGAGGTGCCGGTTTGCGAGTATATTGGTGCAGCTTCCCTGTTCATGCTTTGCTTTTTTTCCGCTACCTTGGACATGTGTGCATTCCTCGAACAGTCTTTTGCGATCTCTTCTCCGAGGTATGTGTACTGCAAGCTCCTTGACCCCCCACTTCCATCTATGTTCTTTTCGTTTCTCCCTGTCCTCGTTGCATACCATCCATGACGGCACTCTTCTTAACGTAGGCAGACAATCTCCACTTATCAGCAAAACCCTTCCCTTCGTCAATCTGCAGTTCAAGTCCTATAGAGGGGGTATCAGACATTCCAAAAAATACATCCGCAGACATTATTCCGACACCGAAGTTTCCGTGTCCCCTACCTTTACTCCCTTCCTAACTGCCTCTACGACTTTCAACGGATCGTTGATGAACGTTGATGAACATCTGGAACACTATTGGGGACAAAGTGCTACCTGGGGGGGCCCTTGTCCAATGTTGACGAGAGAAGTCAGTTGTCCGTCTAGCATGACAGCGCTTTTCGCACACTCTGTCATCTTGTTCAGCATTCTCTCCATATTTTCCCCTTTATCCCATACTCCGACAATTGCTTCCACAGCCCATTTCTCCATACCGTACCGTTTGCCTTTTGCGTGTGCAAGAAAAGCAGTACGTCCGCTTCCCCGCCCTCACTCTACGTTGGACGATACTCCCTACCGCGAATACCCGGGTGTTAATTCGATACGGCAGGATTGGTAGTGAATGTTAAGGTTCAGTGACGCCGGCGGGAGGGAAAACACATGTACCGGCTTGGAACGTAAAAGTTAGTCTGGAACGTGCCCCGTAAAAGTCGGTTTTGCACTCGGGGAGTGAGCCTCTCTTGGATATTTTTTCTTGAAAATGTCAACGTCACCCCTTTACGGCTGTGTTCGTGTGAAAAATCCCACGGGTAAGCTTACCACGATGGTGTGAGTGGCTTGTTGTCCCGCGTAGCTGTAAAAACGCGATATGTGGAACAAACCACCGCCCGTCATTGACGTCCGCCGCCTCGAAGTTTTTTTTTTTTCGGGAGTAGCGAGGAGAGGAATTAGAGCGTGTACACTCCTCGCTTTTTTACTACCTACTTTTCCATCGACATGTTTTGTAAAGGACGCTCATGCCCAGAAACAAGCGAGATGAGCCCCCCCCCACGCCGTTCAGCAGATTAGCCCGTATGTACACATTTCACACAGCAGCGTCGCGTCGTGTCATGTTGGAAGCGTCCGGCAATCGAGTGTGAATTAATCTTGACAGCCGCATGCTGCGAGAATGCTAAACTTTCTGCTACAGTGTTGCTGACAGCGGTCAAGCGATGGAGCAAGGTATGCACGTGAGTTTCCCCCCCGTGATGGGGCAATCGAACGAATACGCCCACCGCCGTGTGTCCTGTGGACAGAGGGTCCGGCAGTACAAGATTTATTTTCGTTTTTGCTGACTTTTATGTACCGAGATAAAGAGCGCGCTTGTTGTATAATATCTCGCGTGCATAACTCGTTGTGCTTCGTTCCCTTGTGGTCGTCTTTCGGCAAACGGGCCAAGATCGACAATCACATCGCGGTGCACCAGAGACAAGGGACAAAGAGACAACGAGCGCACGCTCACAGGATAAAGTCTGAGCTCTGCCCTTCTCAAATCCACCTAACATGTCGAGCTTAGCTACTCAAGGTGAATAGTTTCCAACTGTTTCGCCCACGAGAGGGAGGAAACGGACATGCCCTAGGCATTGGTGTTTGTGCGGATTAGCTAATGTCCATGCGTTGGAAACGTCTTTTTTTTTTCAGTAACGGGAAGAAGATGCCGAATTCGCAAGAGTTGGCTCCCGATGCGCGATGCACGTAAACACCCCCCGTTGCAATAGTAGGAGCACCACCAACAACAACAACAACAACGGTAGCGAGAGCGTCCCTCGGTCTTGGTGGGGTTCAGTGCATAGCATAAGTTTAAGGGAGAAACTATCGCATCGTGCTGTTGGTATGTACATAGGGTCAGATAGGATTTAGCCTTGTCAAGAATTCGGTCCGAGGGAGATGTCTCGGACTTGCCGCTTGGCGGAGGTGAAACAAGCGTCGCGTCTTGCGTGCTTGGCATGGCCCAGAGAGGGTTCAAAAGAGGCGGGAGGGTAGCGGGAATCAAAAGGTCACGCGCATGTAGTCTTGGAGGGGAAAACGAACCGCTGAAGCTGCCGGGTGTTCACGACAGATGTTGCGTAGTTGTTGCTCCCGAAGAAGAGACGTTGATTGTGCGCGACGTGAGCTTGTTGCCACGTGTGCTCCTGGCTTATTTTTCGGTTCCTGCACAGGGGAGATGAACGGGCACAAGGTTAAATCTCACCCGGCCCCAGAGTCTCGCGTGGGAGACGAGGGTACGTCCAAGAGGAACATCACGCGCAAGGGAGGCGCGAAGGTAACAATCAAGGGACCATTAAGAATTCTCCAGTACTTTTTTCTGCCGATGGGGATGATTCCGTTGTGTTTTTGTAGGAAGAAAAGATCTACAGTTCAAAGCGAAATATCAGTGTAGTAGAGGAGGACATACAATAGTCAAGTTTGAGCATTCCGCAACATGCCGTGAAACACGGAATCAGGCATGTTGCGGGTCTGATACTCGAGTTCGCGTTACAAAAATCACGCATGTAAGATTTCATTTTCGTGAAGCGTGATATTTGTCCGAGGATGTTGACATCGTGATGCTTTGTGTTGCATTAAGGAGGGGGAGAACCGGCGACGGTGTTGAAGAGGGCGGGGCAGAGATGGCCATGTGTGGTGCTCGCTTCTAGCAGCGAAAAATTCGAGCGCAATGCTCTGTTTCGGGTATAGTTATCCACTGTGATTGTCCTATTCCAATTGGTACAATTCATACAACAGCAGTAGTTGATGTGTTCCTCGTGATTCATTCTGCCTAGGGTAAGAACGGTGGCGGCGGCGGCGGGCAGAAGGGCCGGTGGGACCCGACCGAGGACGGCAGCGAGGCCCAAGCGCGGGACGGCATCGCGGACAAGGGGGACCCTAACTACGACTCCGAGGCTGACGAGCACGACAACAACTATGTCCTCGTGAGTCGTGGTGTTCCCCGTTTCTTTTTGGCGGCATGTGTTTTTTTGCCGAGACCCGTCATGGTGAGGACGGCGTTTAAAGCAACTACCGCAAACGTGATGAGCGAAAGCCAGAATACGGCAGTGTCCTTGAAAATGAAGTGCTGTGCAGAGAGCAATCGCCGAGAGAAAGACAAGAAAAGGACTGTGCATGTATCCGTACGATACGTCGGTTGCCAATTGGTCGCCAGCGGTGTTCGTGGCGGCGGAGGGGGCGCTAATATGGATTGTCTGTACCCCTTGCATGGTTACCTTACCACATGGTGTTGTTTGCTCTGTTGGTATTCTTGTCTCGTTTCTGATGGACGTACACCACAAGTCGCCCCCCCCCTCCCCCCTCCTGCGGCAGGTGTCAGACAGCACAGTTATCGCTCCCAACGCCGTGGCCGGGCCTCTCCACACGCTGCCGGAGTTCAAGAGGCGTCTCAAGACAATCATTGAGGTGTGCTGTGTGGGTTGTCTGGTTGACACTAGACGGTAGTGGACCCGCTCTATCTCTTCTCCCACCTGGTGTTGTCATTCCAGGACCGCCAGCGAGCGTCAATCCGCGTTACGTGTGTGTAGCTGCTCCGTGCGCTTGTTTCTTGGATTTGTGTCGCATCGACACGCGTTAGCCGCGGGTGAAGAACGAAAAGATGCCGCTGTCACAGCGGGTAGACATTTGGGCTCCACGTTTGCGTTCGTGTGCGAGTGCTTGCCTGGTCCCTTAGCGCGGTCGCGCTTGCTGTGTTGCGGGATGCCCGCATCACGATGCGCCAGATTTACGCGGTTGTTTGTGTATGTATGTGTGTCTGTATAACTGGAATCGATCGCGCTAACCGGCCGACCAATGAAAAGACGTCAGTCTCGGTGCGGCTGAAAATAGAAAATCTTCAAAAGGCCAGGATCTGGGACCCCGTGGGAGGTATCGCGGGAGAGGCTAGGCTATTCTCTCCGGATGAATGTCACAACCGGTAGCAGATGAAGATTTTACTCTGCGGGTGTGCGCGCTCCGCAAGCTGATTCTTTCTCACATGTTGTTCACACTTGTATTGCCTTCTTCTACAACACGGACTTGATCTGTGCACCGCTGTGATGCGTTAATTCCGGTATGATACGGGACCGGACGGGTGTCGCTCCAGGAGTACTTCCTGTCCGAGGACATCAGCGAGGTGCTCCGTTCGGTGAAGGAGCTCAAGTCCCCCGCCTACCACTACGAGATCGTGAAGCGCGGCATCAACATGTCCATCGACGCCAAAGACCACGAGGTTCGGTTTGTTGCCATTGCTGCTGTTGTCTATCGTTGCTACTGCTACATACTGCTGCTGCTACGCTGCCGCTCCCGTTTTTTTCGTGTGTGTTGAATCAAACAGCTGTTGCGCCCGTTTATGTTCTTTTTTCGTTTGGTATTCAATGTATCTCAAATCGAGCAGCGGGAGCTGGTGTCGAAGCTGCTGTCGGACGCCTACCCCGACATCCTGTCGTCCCGGGAGGTGTGCAAGGGCTTCGAGAGGCTCTTCGAGATGATCGACGACATACAGCTCGACGCTCCCAAGTACGTCGTCTTTGCCGCGTCTCTCTGTTGCATCTGATAGTCAGAGAAGGACATCATCCTCTGTTTTATTTGTCTCATCTGTTCCGGGCCGCAGTCAATACACCGTTCGGTCGTCTGTGATTTCACGCACCAAGCGCGGTCACACAGGAGGAGCTTAGTCGACAACTTTCCTTCTGAGGGTGCTGGTGTCTCGCGCGTGCGAATCAATCGAGTCGTATGTTGTGTAGATGATTTCAAATGTTGCCGCGACTAGGCGCGGACCCCGCGAAACCGGTTCAAACACTTTTTTCCCGTTGTCCTGACTGCAGTGCAAGGACATTGGTGGCATCATTTTTGGCTCGTGCTGTGGCGGACGAGATCATCCCCCCCTCCGTGTTGCGCAATGCCGCCTTCCTGAGCCTTGGAGGCGAGATCGTCAAGGGGGCGCGGCGCCTGCTTTCGAGGTACTGTTCGCTGCTGTACAGTCGTGGGTCCGATATAGGACGGTACCTTGCATGAGGGGGCTCCAATATAGAGGGTCGAGGGCCTTTGCCATAACACCCTCTTATATCGAAGACACGACTGTACATAGCTAAGGGCCAGGTCATGGGTTCGAGTCCCGGCAGAGTGAGTTTTTTTCTCACTAAATATCTCCTGGTCTATGATGAAAGCGACGCGTTGCAAAGCTCGTTGTCACTTAAGCATACAGTAATCGACTTCGTAAGTCGCGAGGGAAGGGATTGCTGGACCCTTCTCGCGATTAAAGTATCTCAGGCAGGAACCGCAAGAGGGGGTCCAGCCCGCCCCTCCTATGTGACCCCGGTTGGGTCTTCTTGCTAGTAGAAGTGGAGGATAGGGGCCAGAGGGGCAGACGACAAAATCCAANCTCCTGGTCTATGATGAAAGCGACGCGTTGCAAAGCTCGTTGTCACTTAAGCATACAGTAATCGACTTCGTAAGTCGCGAGGGAAGGGATTGCTGGACCCTTCTCGCGATTAAAGTATCTCAGGCAGGAACCGCAAGAGGGGGTCCAGCCCGCCCCTCCTATGTGACCCCGGTTGGGTCTTCTTGCTAGTAGAAGTGGAGGATAGGGGCCAGAGGGGCAGACGACAAAATCCAATGATGGGAGAGAAAAAAAAATAGAGAGCAAAGAAACAATTTTGTGGATACAGCGTGATGGGTGTTGAAGCGAGTGGTATTCATCTGTGGTTGTCCGGTCGTAAATGAGTGACACGAGTTTTTTTTCCTGGGTTAATGAGGGCGTTTTGGTAGTGTGTTGATATCGATCGCTTGTCATTCATAAAATAGTTGTTCTTCTCTCTGACAGGTCGGCGATTTATCTGTCTGTGTCTATCTCTTCTATTCGTAGGGACCACGTTCTGTCTAGGCTGGAGCACGTCTGGGGGCCTGGGGACGGTCGCCCCGTGGAAGAGCTAAAGGTGGCCATTGACCAGGTCAGTTTTTTTTGTTGTGAGAGCTGGTTGGGTCTGTTGTGGTCTAGTCTGACTGTCGAGAGAATGTGTGCGGACGCGTATGTAGACCAGCTCGGGTAGTCGTGCGCCAGCGTGCTTGTAAATGTCGCTCGTTTTAGTGTTGATTGTTCAGTCTCATACTGGTGAGATGAAGCATCAGTGGTGAACTGTCGTGGGTTGCGTGAACATGACCCTGATACCCGCTATGTTGGAGTATTCTGGCGATTTTCACAGTAAGGCGAGCAGACGTCATTCGTTCTTCGCCATGTTCTACGGTGCTTCTGTTCTCTCTGGTACCGTGTATTTCTATTGTCGAGTACTCGTATCATTCCTCCTCTTACTCCGCCTCCACGACCACCACCACCTAGCTATCGCGAGGGCGTGAACCTGGTGTGTCCACACCATACATCCCTGGAGGAACTTGAGCCACACTGAGAGCTAGGAGATCCCGTCTCATACCTCTCGCTGTTGCTCTTCAAACGAGGTCTCTGTAAGTGCTTGCGAGATCCGGAGAAACAACTTTTTGCCCTCCTGTTCGTTGGCGTCGGCCACATGGCTACCTTTCAGCCCACAGCGCTCCAAAAACACAGCAGTCGCGCCGTAACGATATTGTTGATTCGTCAAACCACCATGCGTGTGCGTGTTTGTTTTGTTTTTTGCAGCTGCTTGTGGAGTACCTCTTGTCGAGGCAGCAGGATGAGGCCGCCGCGTGCGTGAAGGAGCTGGACTGTAGTCTCTTCCACCACGAGATAGTCAAGCGCGCTGTCAAGGTGATGCTATGCTACTTTTGCCGTCAACGCATCTGAAACCTATCTAGTGTAAAGCCACGTCAGCGCAGAGCAGTTGACTACAACTTTAGTGTACCCGCTAGTAGACACGGTTTATGGTGGTCAACACCCTAGGTACTCCCAAAACTCCCTTTCGTGGGTCCTCGTCGAGGAGGGCCTGTTTCCGATCGACCCCCCCAGCGAGTGGCAGCCATGTAGCGGCAGTGAGGCGGAACGCTTTATCCAGCCACGTTGCCGAAACACCGGAGGGGTATTTGCCGTGTTTCTACCGTCCCAAGCATATTTGTGCGGGAAGGAGAGTATCCACTAGCGAGCGTTCCTTCGAAGGACTCTTGAGATTCGCAGCAAGATTTGGTCGAGCATCCGACGAAATAGCGGCCGTGTTGGCGAAAGCGAACTCCCGTGTCTGTGGAGGGTCAGTTCAAGGCATGAGGCTAATGCGTGACACGAAAGTATCGACAGCAGTCAGACCCATGCTTGTGCGTCATGATCAACAATCGGAGTCAACGAAGTTAGGCCGCCTCCCTCGCGATAGGTATTTTTATTCAATGGCTTTCTTGCCTGCAACCCAAACGAAAGATGCTGTTGTTTGCTTGCATCGTGACATGAGAGGTTAACGCCCTGCAATACCCGTGTACGCACACCCCGAACTGTTTAGACGGCTCTCGACAAGACGGACGATGACCGCACGGCGATGTCTTCCTTGCTGGCCTACCTTAACAAGAACGAGGTCATCAGCGACGAGCAGAGCAAGAAAGGGTTCGACAGGCTGTACGAGGCGAGTCAAGCCAAGTCAACCTTGAAAACAGGGCCCGTGAGGTGTCCACCCCTTGTTGCCTTAGTCCTATGTTTGTCTTCGTTACGATGTTTGCTGTCATTTTTGTTTCTTTTTCCTTACAAAAACACAACAATTTTGTCTCTTGCACGGATAAGGGGAGTATATTTCTTTCAGATTCCACCTTGTTCGTTTGGCCGGCACATGGGGATTTCCTTACTTTTGTTTTGTTCAGACCCCGCGCGAAACTCGACAATGTGGTATCTACCGTGGTTTATATCGCGAACGCTAGGTGTACTCAGCACTAGAGATCCGGACCTGCCGAGTTCTAGGGTTCATGTCGGTATGTGTTTGTAGGGAGATCGATCCCCGTGCTTCCGTGCGCGGGCCAGCGTGCCCTCTTCAACAAGGTCTGGAGTCGACCTTTTCTTCGCACCTCTAACGGTAAGCATCCCGTGTAAATTCGCTCACATACTCCGCCCCCGTCGTATTCCGCAACAAAAAGCAGATCTTGCCGGACCTCGTCCTCGACACGCCCGCCGCCCCGAGCTTGCTCACCAAGTTCACGCAGCAGGCCATCTCTGACGGCTGCTTGCCGGCCGATTACAAGCCGCCCCCGACCCCATCTCCCTCCCCTGCCGCGGAAAATGGGAAGCAGGGTGCTTAGACCTACCTGTATTTGTCTCTAGTCTAGCCTAGCGTTCGTCGCAGCCAACACACTAAAGATTCTCCGCCCCTCCCGTGTATCTTTACGTCTTGAGCAGTGGGCCCCGCACGCCAGCCAGCCTTGGTAGAACGAATATGAGAGGGGGGCGGGCCAAAGAATCTCAATGATAATATCTACGTTGTTATTGACGGTGAGGAAGAGGGAGGAGGACTACCCAGGCGTTTGGGAAAGGAGCGTTGGTCGGCGAAGAATGACTGGTGCTCGATGTGTGACAGCAAAATGTGGATGTCACTGCGGTCGATGCGGGGTGGAATGAAAGCTGGAGATCGTAGGTGGTTTGGTGGCGGGTGACGTGCGTGCTGGACATGCGTATGTATGGGGTGCATCGTGGCGTTGTGGCCCTTACCTCTCTAACCTCAACCACGGGCGGGGGTTCTACACGCGAGTGTCCGGCGTTCCGTGTCTATCGTGTTGCTTTCAGATGATCTAGTCGGCGTGGGAGAGCGGCGTGCGCTGGTTTGCGTGGTAGTCGGGTGCAGGACGGCCGACGGCGGCGGCATCATCAAAATGTACAGAGTTAGATCGTGTGGCTTGTGTGTCGACGCAACGTGTGAGGAAGAAGGGAATTGAGAAAATTATAGTATCAAGCGTGTGTACTGCTGTGCCTGAGAGCATGCCTGGTTTCGACAGAGCTACCAAGCGGTTAGGCAGTGAACAGCAAAAGTTCTTTCGAGAACATCTGTCAACAATCTATGCAGTGGCGGATGAGAAGGTTGGTGTCTGGTCCCCGTGCGCGTGTCTGCACGTGTTCTGCGCCGCATGTACACATACGTGTGCCATGTTTGCAGATCCTGAGAGTCTCAGCTTGGATTTGAGGTGCGGCAATCCACATTCAGGAAATGTATTTTTGCAACATTACCGCTGCCCCAAAATGCAGCCCGAGTACGACAATATGGTCAACCACCACATGTTGGGGCATACATGGGTACTAGAGGATCACTCCACCCCGAGAAAGAAAGCTCGTAAATTCTTCAGTCGCTATCGAGAAAATCCGCAGGTTCGGCTGAGCCTTCCTACAAGCTGGGTGTCCATTTCTCACAGTTACGAAAATCTCCAGGTCAGGAGACAAACGTCCATAGTGCTCTTCCGGGCATGTTGCGCCGTTCATGATGTGGGAGTGTTTAGTCTTGTCTCAAACCATCTGTTCTTCCCTCATGTAGGGTATACAGAACTCCTCCCTAGTTCAGATCGTTGTGGTTGGCCCATCTCTCCGGTTCGATGAGAGGACCGGGCTCGCGAGCCCTCTTTTCTTCCAGAGAGATAAAAGATACAACCAATAAGATGACGCAGCTTAACTTGCCACTGACGACCTTCAGCATAGGTCTACTGCGGTGTTATGTGATCAGCCAGCAGCGATGATGCGCGAAAAGCATGCACGCCGCCCCCGTTCCGACCGTAAATCATGTTTGGCCCTCTTTGTGTAAGACCCATCGTCCAATTCTGCGGGGACCCCTCCGGGCTCGTCTCGTCAGTTGCACGACCGGTGGGTAGTTTCCGTTTTGTCTTCGTCCTTTGTCCTCCATTTCCCAGCCGGAGCTCGCGCTCTCTGTCTGTCTCTGTCTATCTCTCTCTCACATCGTTTTCTAGCCGCGGTGAAAAAGACAAAAATGACGGATCTACCCAGGGTGAAACCTAGGGCGCCTTCCGGTATATGCCGGGGAGGGGTTGAGATTGATAATGTTGCCAAACCACCTAAGCTCTGAAAATTCAGTTGTGGGTTGCTGTTGGTGTGTAGATGCGATATTCGGTCTCAGATTTTTAATCCGCGGTCGGGAAGGTGGGTTTTCAGCGAAACTTGGTGATTTGTCTTACTCAATATATAGGGAAACGCAAATCAGGGGAAACGAACTTTCTGTCCCCCCCCGGGGACAAAACGGGGATTTGCCCATATCCTGCCCATTTTAAGCGCTTTTTTGACCGCTGTTCCGGTAGAACAAACCCTACAATTTTTGCAAACTTAACTGGCCACTTTCGACCAGGGGACACGAACTTTATGTCCCCCCCCCGGGACAAAACGGGGATTTCCCCTTATCTTGCCCATGTTTTGCGCTTGTTAGACCACTGTTCCGGTAGAACAAACCCTACAGTTTTTGCGCACTTAACTGGCGACTTCCCACCAGGGGACACGAAACTTGTGTCCCCCCCGGGGACAAAACGGGGATTTCCCCATATCATGCCCATTTTGTGCGCTGCTCAGACCGCTGTTCCGGTAGAACAAACCCTACAGTTTTTGCACACTTTACTGGCCACTTCCCACCAAGGTACACGAAATTTGTGTCCCCCCCGGGGACAAAACGGGGTACCAAGAGTAAAGGGTAGCGCATAATACTTGCAAACGTTGCGTTCGACACCATACCAAAAAAAGCAAGAAGAACAACAAACGTCGACGAGTTCCATTCTTGTGGTTGGCAGCCAACACATCCATCCATCCCTGGCCCACCTCCGGGAACCTCTTCTTCGCGATACGTACGCGACCTCTTGAGCGTACGTATTGCGCTTCCTCCCGCTCCCCCTCCTCCACCTCCCCCTCCTCCCCCCCCCTCCTCGTCCTCCTCCTCTCCCTCATCTCCCTTCTCCCCACCCCACCCCACCTCCCCCATGCTCTGGTCAAGCGTAGGCGCCACTGGGGACTCGTCCGAAGATATGACCGGAAGAATAACGCCGGTCAATTGAGTCCCAAGCGTGCGTCTCCCAACCATTTCTTTTCCCGACTTCTCCATCACCTCGCCAACCAAGTCGGGGTACACCTTCGCTACCATGCAGTCATCCTAGCAGCCTATTCGGCAAGTCGAGCAGTAGCACGATGCGCCCCGAACCCGCAACTTCCAAGATCTGGTGAACTTCTTGGGGGCAGCCCATTTCCTCGCCCTGAACTCGTCTACCGCCCACTTCCTAGTCGTCAACAACTTGTCTCCGGCCGCTCCCACCACAAAATCGTCTGTCTGCACCCCCACACTAGTAGCCCACACAAGATTACAGGTATCCTGCACCTCCCCCTGCTCCTCCTCTGTTCCCGGGATTCGTCACGTCACTCCGTGTCTTGCGCTCGTTGTACACGTAGCATCCCTCACTCGCAGCGATCTTGGGGGCGATGTCGTGGTTCGTGTTGTGCATCCGCCGCCGTGCGTCGCTGAAAGTCTCGTGCCGAATGCCGAGACTGTTGGCTCGCTCGGCAAGGCTCACTCCGCCAGACTCAACGGGCTTGCACCGCTGGCCGGGGTGGCACACGTTCGTGTCAGTACACGTGTGCTCTCCCGCTCCGGCTGCTACAGCGAGCGCTGTCTGGTAAGTGGTCCACCCCATCGAGCTGTTGCAGTCTGCTTCAGCGCTTGCAACGACGCACGGAGTGCACGAGTGTTGGCCGCGTCGATCGCAGCCACGTTAGCTGCTGCCTGCTCTTCCGCGCCAGCATCCAGCATGGCCCGTACTCGCTCCATCAACACGGGGTCGTTCTGCATCAAATCCATCGCGCTAGAGCGACGCTCCTCCGCAACCTGCGTACAACGTATCAGTAGTTATTGGAGGAGTCGGGGGAACATATGAGTGGGTGACATATTAACACCACGGTAGCAGCGTCATTGCAGCAGTTACAGCAGTCAGCAAACCCGCGCAATTTGTAATGCGCTCTCTGTGCTTAAGATCGATGTGGTGGAATGGACCTCAATTCCTGGAGGCAAAGAGGACGGGCAGCGCGTGTACGATACATAATTTCAACTTCAAAAAAAGAGCGGCACGAACTGGCGCGCAAAGTAAAGCAGTCAATCAAGCAGTTTATCACCTTTCAGCAGCACCTCAGAAGCGACTCAAAACTCACCGCTTCCTCCCGCGAAGTCTCTGGGGTAGCACCGCTTCTAGTCCCGCCATCATGAGCCAATGCTAGAGGGTCGGAGAGAGCTGCGTCCGCCCCCTTGCGCTTCGCCTTCTTCGCCGCAGCAGATGAAGCAGCAGCAGCAGCAGCAGCCTGTCGTTTCCCGCGTTTCGATGCTCTCTCTCGGATGCCTTCAACATGCTCTCTACCCTTTTCGAGGAGCTCAACTTCATCAGCAACCACAGATTGCACGGGTTTTCCAGCTGCCTCGGTGGTACCCTTTCTCAACAGCTGGCTGATTAGCAGTATCCCGCGGATGTGGTTCTTCCGCTGCTGTCTCACTACCCTCTCGTCCCCTCGGATTTCGATTGTGCGGTCTACCTGCATGAGGCTGCCACGAGCCACGGCCAGGCCCAAGTCGGGACGGCCGTCCTAGAACGAGATTAGGTCTGATGACCTCGAAAGTGGTGTCCTCTGTATGTAATTCGACCAAGCGGAGTCGATTGCCGTAGAGAACGAGGCTTGAGTCGGCGATGCTTGGGGTGAAACAGGATGCGCCGCATCGTTTATCTTGAAAAATGTGAGGAGATTTTTGTTTGTTTTTTCGGTTTGTTTTTCGTTCGGTTGGTCTCGCCGAAACGTTTCTAGAACCGGTCTCTGTTTTTCGTACCGATAAACACTCGTTCTAGGACGCCATTCTCCGGCATTTACCGGAAGGCGCCCTAGGACGATTTCTGAGATCATGGCGAACCTGAGCACCGAGGAGAAAGATCCAATTCACGAAGGCTCAGCTGCTGAAGAGGAGCCGGCCACAACGCACGCCCTCCTCGCCGAAGCGGAGAGTTGCAAGGACCGAGGCAACGTAGACTTTCACAAGGGAAAGGTACTGGCGAAACACACAGCGGGCAAGAACTTTCTCCGCGACGCCTGTGTCCTGTATGCGGAGGGACTCCGGGTGCTCGGCGAGGCAGACGCCCGCCTTCTGGCACAACGCGCACAGCAGCAGCAGAAGCAGCAGCAGCAGCGGGAAGAGGGCAACGGCAACCGAGCCAGCGCCGCCGACAACTCTGATGGGAGCAGAAGCTTAACCCCTTCGTCACCTGTACCACCACCTAGAGAAAAATCACAGGGGAATGATGGTCAAGCTTCAGTCCTGCCTCCTACTCTGCAAGACAGAGAAACCATATCCCTTTCCAAGCGAGCGGACACGGTCCGACCGTCCCTGTACCTCAACCTCGCCGCGTGCAACCTCCTCCTGCAAGAGTGGACCCCCGCGATTGCCTGCTGCACGCACGTGCTCGACGAGTGCTGCGGGGACGCCTTGCGTGAAATCGAGGCGGAAATCGGCGGCACGGGGAAAGAGGCTCGTGACGGTGTTCCTGGTGTGGCTCAAGGTGACCGCCGCACGGCCTCAGCTGCTGCCAATGATAGCACCGATACCACAAGGGCCGGTTCTGCGACAGGCACATCAACAGGAGACGCAACAGATGCGGCGTTAGCCCCGACGGGTACGGGAGCTCCTCCGGATAAGAGGCAGCAGCAGCAGAAGGAGGGGCAATCAGGAGAGATCTACGGAGAACACCAGGGAACAACGGCACCAAGTCGCGGCGCTGACAGGGAAGCCGAGCCGAGAGCAGACCCACCGCAGGAAGAAAGTGGAGGTAGAGACCGGGAGGCAGAGAAGACGAGGTGTCGAGAAGTAGCCGCGAAATGCCTCTACAGGAGGGCGGCGGCCCTAGCGGGAGGCGGAGACGTGGCCGCCGCGCGAGAGGACTTGGTGCGGGCCCTGCGGTTGAAACCCCGAGACGCTGCCATCAGCCGAGAGCTCAAAAAGGCAGACAAGCAGCTCGCAGAAAACGAGGCCAGGGAAAGCCTCCGACGGTGAGAGTGCATATGGTAGTACAGCAATCATATCGTGGCATGGTACGATAGAAGCTTTCCGACGCGACTCCCTGACGTAACGGAGTTCACCGGCGATACTAGGGTGTGCTGATACCCGTGCATACCGTAGGCGTAGTCGTTTGACTTCCCATCCCTACAGCAGTGCCGGGACGGAGCACGCCGGGTTTTCATCCGACCAAGCTAGCACGTCACCAGACTGGGGGGAAGACATGTGGCCACCCCATGGTTATTCTGGTGGTGGTTTGGCGCTTGCGAAAGACAAAACGCTTTTTTCGCAACAGTGTGTGCACATCGGTAGCAGGGCGTCATCACAGTAGTACAAGAAGCTTGATCTTGTTCAATTCGCCGCCCGGCACGTTGTTGGGTCGTGACGCGGCTGCGTACCGCTTTCCAGCGGTGCCTATGGGACGCAAGTGGCTTGGAACAGTACGGCTCGCACGTTTCCGTTTCGACACTTGACGTGCTTGTCGAGCAGCGGCAACGGACCAACCCATCCCATGTCCGGTCGCCCCGGTGGTCTAGTTGGTAACCTCGAAACCTTCTAGAGGTCTGGTCAGGGGTTCGAATCCCGGCGTAAGCGAGCTTTTCTTGCAAACTGAGTTTTTCTCTCGCTCCCGCTCCTGGCCGAGTGGATAGCGCTAGTTCGTGTGTACACAGAGGGAAGAGAGTGTTGAACTCTTCTCGCATTAAAAATCGAACGCAAAGTACCGCAGGAGGGGAGGGTAGGGAGGGGCTCTTCTGTGTGACCACGGGTTGGAGTAAACGGCAATAGTGCTGTGAGCGCTGATTTTTGAAGCGAAGACCAAAAAAAAAAAAAATGTCTGATCACCCTTGTGCACCTGATCGCGGACGTCCGTATCACTCACACACACTTCGCTCTGCTTTCTCGGTCCACAAAGGAAAACCGAAGAAGGCCGACGAAGAAGGCAACAACAACAACAACGACAGGCCGATTCCACTTCCGCGGTGACGAAGACGGACAACATCACTTCTACCACCGCCGATGGCGGAGGCGCTCCTACGCAGCAGCTAGCACGCTCCCCCGCGCCGGGGGCAGACCACGCTGTCATCGGCGGCGGCAAAGGCGGGCATCAGGGGGGAGTGGAAGCACCGGAAAACCAACAGCAGCGGGGACCCCGGGTGTCGAAGGAGGAGGAGGGGAAGGGAAGTTGTAGTGGTGACGAAGAGTCTAACGAACTCTCTCAAGAACAACCCGAACAACCCTTCTCCACGCACAATGGCGGCGAGTGTAGGAACGGACTCTACGCTTGGAATCAGTCCATCGACGAGGCAAGAGCGCACCACAGCAATAGCTGTAGGGTAACAGCAGTTGTCGCAAGTAGTAGTGGAAATAGCAGCACCAGGTTGTAGTGAAGTGCTACTACAGAATATGGTTAGTCTCGGCGTCAAAGCGATGTGCTATTCTTGACTTGTCCGGAAGGAGGACAGTGCTAGCCATCCCGTATCCATGACCAGCGAGACACGAATTGACCTTTTGCCTTTACCGAAATGCTGCGCTTGTGCTCGTTTCATTTGTCTCGCCTTTACCAGGCGAACCTCCGTACGGCAAAACTCTTTCTTCCGATCCTTCACCCCCCCTCCCTCCGCTGTCGGCGTACCCACGATATCGCTCCTTTCGCCCGTCGCAAAAAAAAAAAACAGGTTCAGGTGAGCGTGAAGATACCCCCCTGGGCCCGAGCCAGCGACGTTCGCGTAGACTTGCATCGATCGCGCCTGTCGGTGTCCGTCGTCATTCCGCACGCCGATAAAGATCGCCCAAGAGGAACAAGACCTCAATTCTCGCACGGTACAGAGACGAGCGCCACCACCGCCGGGCCTACGGCAAGCAGCAACGCCGCCAAAGACCCAGCCCCCCAAGGGGTGGATCCCGGAGTCGTAGGCGAAGGCGAGACCGCGACGCCCGTCCTCGCCGGAGCCCTGAGCCGGCCCGTCCAGGTGGACGAGTGCCTGTGGACGATAGAGAGGCCCGGTCGGGTGCTGCTGTACCTGCAGAAGGAGCTACCGGCGGACGGCGAGCCGGGGTTCGAGTGGTGGGCGTGCGTGATGGAGGGGGACCCTGAGATCGACGTGCTGGCGTGCGACGCCGGGTCTGACGCCTCTAGGTACCCCGAGCACGCCAGGAGGCGAGGGGCGAAGGCGCTGTGGGAGCACCAAAACAAGAGCCCGAAGGAGAGGCTGGAGGAGGTTAGTCGGACGCGGATGGTTGGGGCAGCGGGAACAGAAAGCTTTGTTTTTTCTCCGGGGTTATTTTGCGATGGGCGGTGATGTTGGTGTTGCTTGTGGACGTTTTTGCCTAGGAATTGGAGTAGCAGGAAGTTCATTTGCTGTTGGTTTTGGAGGTTGATGATGGTTGTCTCCGGGCGGTGCTCCCAATCTCGCGAGTATTGCGACCCGCGGGCGAGATCGATTTGCGTGATTACAACATGGTAAACGTTAATCTGCAGCACTGTTATTTGCGGTGGTCGTAGCACCAGACGGTACGCAACAATGAATTGCCTTGGTGAAAATCCTGGCATGTTTATCTCGACAAACGCAAAACGCTTGGACATACGTTTTTTGTCTCTCTTTCTCTCGCCGCCTGTACCACACTTTTGAGTGTCAACAGGAAGCAGACACATAGGGCGGTCACGCTTCCCGAGTTCGTCTGACCTCTTACTGACCTGTGAGCCACTCTTTTTCTTGCGGGCGGAGAGCAGGAACGGATGCGCGACGCGTACCGGCAAATGGAGGAGGAAGCGGAGCAGAGACAGCGTGACCTGGAGAAGGCCATGAAGGACCCCAGGAAAGCAGAGCTATACCGGCAGCTGAAAAAGATCATGCCAGACACCTCCATCAGCATTAAGTAGACGACGTAACGGCCGCACCACCCCTAAGGAATCTGCAACCAACACCGCCATCAGCATCAAGTAGACGACGGAATGGCCGGACGCAACCTTCAGGAATCTTCAAGCGGCGGGTAGCGAGAAGCTACATGTTGGGGTGTGCTTGGCGGCGGTAACTATAGTTTGCGCGGCAGCAAGGTGTCGCCCCGCAGCATCAAGCGGTAATGAGAAGTTGTCGGTCGACGACAGATTTGGTTGCCCACGGCGATAACAGCAACGGGGTTTGGGTGCACATGGACGGACTCCTGTCGTGCGTATGTTTTAATCACCACGCGGCTCGATTCTTCCAAAGGAGAGAGGAGGGTCGCCAATGAACAAGGCACCGCAGAGTAGGAGGCAGAGCCCTCTCCGGGTTAGGTGCGCTTCTTGCCTGGCATCCACTGCTGTGGACGAGCGGGCAGACGGACGGACTGCATTACCCACCATGCACTAACAGTTGTTACCGTGTACAAGTAAACTGCGCATCAGCCAGGACCCACAAATATACCGAATGTGGGTGAAAGTTTGCGGGGGCACCAACAAATCCCATATGCACATCCATCCACACCACCGCGAAGGCTGAATATGAGCAAGGTGTATGCAGCAGCAAGCAGGGCTCCATGTGGTGTCCAGCATCAAGAGCGCTTTAGAAGCATACCTCCCTCTATCTTTGTCGCCCACCTCCCCTCGTCGGTTGGTTCAAATCGAACGGCAAGGAACCTCGAACGCATGAGTCAGCGGGCCTCCCCCCCACGCAGCGTGCAGCTGCCAGCCAGGCCGCGTGTATTGTAGCGTCTCTGGGTTCTACGCATACAGAGGAGGTCCGAAATTCATCTCTCTCCTATTGGTCGTGCAACTTTGCTGCCTTCGCTTCGATACACTCAACACGATGAGATCATGTCGGCGCTATCCACTTTCGACAAAAAACAAAGCGTCAGCAAGCTGAAAACGGAAAATCTAATGCCTCTGACCCTCCCTTTCAAACTCCCCTACCTCGCGATCGGCAAACACTTGACCCTCCCATTTTCACATTTTGTGTTTTTACGCAGCTATTCGAACCCAAGATTGTCCAAGCCTGACAAAACATCATCACGCACTCTTCACGGAGAGCGGTGCTTTCGTACAGCACGGCAGTACTCCATGTCTTTTCCGAAGGACTACATGTCGTTGCCATCTCTATAGCAAGCACATCCGGCGGCGTTCCCACAAAATGTGCGAAGGCTTGGCACCCATGCAAGTCGTGCTACTCGTACAAAATTGCTGCAGTGCGTGGTGCCTACTATTTTACCGTCTTGTGTTTCTTGCGGGTGGCCTGCTCCGTAATCCCCTGCCCGCTCCCTGTTACCCCTACCTTCCCCTCGAGACCCGCCGGTGAGGCGAAAATTGACTCCTTTTTCAGCGACACCGCGGCCATGCTCCCCTTCGTCTTCTTCTTGGCCCCCTTCGTCTGAAACGCTTGCCACGACGCCTGCTTATTGTTCACTACGGCGTCCTTCTGCTTGATCTTGAAACGACCCTGGGGGGACACGAGAGCGGCCGGGGTGGGGGGATCGACAAAAAGTCCGGTGACCCCCGCAAACGCGCACGCAAGTCGCGAAAAATCGCTCAACTCGTATCTAGCGTGGACGAAGGGACCCCGCTTTGCTATGGCACACATGCAGCGGATGGGTACCCTGAGATAGTGTTGGCGTACACCACGTGGCGATCACGGGGACTGCGGTGCTACTGAGCACGGAAACCCTCTGTCTCCCAACACAGCAGTAAGCGAGCGATTAAACATTCGCTCTCGAAAAAAAAAACATCACCCGTATACATAAGAGTTCTGACTTCCCGTGTTGATAACGGCTTCCCTAACCAACTCAAGAGAGCTCAGTACGGGGATCACAGCAGGCCGCCGCGCGAAACAAAAAAATGTCGGAAGAAGGCGCGCAGGCCTTGCGCTCCAACGCGAAGAAAAACAGCCTTTGTGTTTGTGCCTTCTGTTTCTCCGTCTGCGTCGTCTGTCTGTCTGTGTGCCCGTTTACCTCTCTGCGTGCCCGTCTTGTCTGCTTGTCTGTTTACCCCTCTGTGTGTGCGCGTCCTGTGCCTTCCTGCGTGCGTGTTTCTCCTCTCTCACCTTCAGCGCCTTGACCTTCTTGCGTTTTCGATCCCGCTCCGCCTCGGAGTCGCCCTCTCGTAACCGAAGGCTCTCCGGGATGGCGAAAGACGCGTCTGCTTCTGCCTGCGCCTCTGCCTGCTTCGCCTGTTACGGCACGCGACACTTGTTGTCGGCTTCGTCGTCGTCTCTGTAAGGTTTGCGATCAGACGCCGAGGTGTCGTCGAACTCTCCCTAGAAAATCTCGGCGAGACACGATGTAATACTAATTAATTTCTCTGTGGCTGTGCACCTCTCGCCCAACCTGGCTAGACCGCAGTTACCTCTCCCTCATTCTCTCTCTCTTACCTTGGCTAGGGACATCGTGACCTTCTTCTGCAGGTACTCTAGCGGAACCTCCTCCACGTTTCCGTACGCGGGGAAGACGATTTTGTACCCGTTCGCCGTAACCTCTTGGATCGTGCAGTCGTAGTACCTGAGTAGATGGCACGTGATACGGTAAAAAGTGCTTGTGTGATGTGAGGCGGTTCGATGCGCTGGTATGGAAGGGGTGCACTTTAGACCCGCAACATCGGACTTACCACCATGACACCACCGATATCGGGTTGATGGCGGTAGATTACACGCATCGGTCACGCAACGCCATACAGCATCATGATCATAGCGGCCCTCGAAAATTCTATGTCGCCAAAACTGAAATTATCACAGAAAGAGTCTCCTTAGAGACGCTGTTGGAAAGAGCTCCGCAGCCAGCAGTGCCCCCCCCCCACATTTGTTTGACGTGGTGGAAGTAGTGGTGAAAACGGAGTTCGAGGAAAGCCTATGGCTTAAGATACCTGGGGAGCGGGGTGAGAAAGATTTGTTTCTAGGGAACGTATACGTCCCACCGTCGTCGAAGAAAGTCGCAAGCAAGGCGCAGGAGAACTTTGGACAAATTGGGGAAGATGTCCAGAGGTTCAGTAGGAAGGGAGAAGTTGTCATGGTGGGCGATTTCAACTCCANGAGGAGAACTTTGGACAACTTGGGGAAGATGTCTAGAGGTTCAGTAGGAAGGGAGAAGTTGTCATGGTGGGCGATTTCAACTCCAGAGTAGGGAAAGCTTCCAG